TTAGTACTGTCGGGCAAAATTACTCTTGCCCGCACCAGTTCTTCATAAATCTCAGGTGCCTTGGCCAGATCGAACGAATAACTCTGGTACTTGGGAGGTTTCATAGGGACGAAGCCTCCATCGTTCATCACAATTTTCTGGTCTTTGATGGGTTGAACTAATCCTTTCACCATCAATGGTTTGAAAGGCATGGTCATCTCAGCAGCACACACCTCAACTTCCTGTTAGTCATGGCCATCTTTATGTTCTGGCCCGATTTCTCCTATCTCCACACGATGAATTGCAGCTTTGTTTTTGTAGAAGGGAGGAGCTTTGGAAGTATGCTTCACTTGCTGCTCTTCTAGCAACAGTCTTTCATACTTTGTGGCAACAATCACCAATTCTTGTAGCTCGTTAAATTGTGTATCATAAAGTCTTTTCCTCAAAGGTAATCTCAGAGCCTTTTGAGCAATTGATATGAGCTGAGCTTGGTTAACAGGGAATTGGCATCTCATCCTCGTCTTCCTGAACGTCATCATGAAGTCCTCTGTGGACTCATGTTCGTATTGTTTGACTTTAACCAGATCATTAATAGTCATTTCTGGTTCTATTCTGTAAAATTGTTCATGGAAAGCCATCTCCATCTGGCCCCAGTTGGCAATAGAGTTAGGGGGTAATAGAGAATACCACTGAGATGCTAGTCCTGCCAATGAATTCCCAAACAACCTTAACTTGTAGTTTGGGTTGTCTTCATATGCCACACAATGATTGGAGAATTTGAAAATGTGGTCTCTGGAGGACACACTGTTGTCTTTACCTGTGAACGTTGGGAATGCATGCATCTTGAAGTTGAGAGGAAATGGATTTTGCTCATCAACGTATTCAAGATAAGGTTTTTGATAGGTAACCCTGAACATTGGACGAGTCCGTGGTTGAGCATTTTGAGCCACTGTCCTCCTTAATTCAGCCAATTCCTCCCTCAGTTGTTGAGTAGCTGTATTATTATTCTGGAAGAGAAGGGCAGACTCGTTCTTCGGGCTTCGGTCATTGCCCGCGAATGCTTCCTTTTTTGATTCAGGCTTTCTCCAGTTGGCTCCTCCTCCCTTATAAGCCAACGGAGGTGGCCTATAAGGAAGAGGTTTATCCGAAGTTGCGGAGCTTTTTTTCTGCTGGACTCTCTTGTTGTTATGGGCATTCCATACTTCGTCCTTTCTTACTCGCTTTGCTTCCTATTATTAAATGATAATAATGGGAAGCTAGGAAATTCTTTCTCCAGAACTGGTTTAATCACGGGTTGACTTCCTTCAAGAACTACTTTCTTCTTTCCCCTATCCTTTTCTTCTTCTAACAGTGGAAATAGGGGAATAACTAGTTCACTTCTGATGGTAACTTGGCTCATCCCACTTCCCTGAGCACCTTTTGGAGTGGAAAACTCCAGATCTAACCTTCTCTGTAGATTCCCTGTTAAGGTACACAGTCTACTGACTTCCCCCTTGGTTTCCAAAGAGATTTTTTCCATACTCCTTAATACTTGTATCATAGTAGCTTGTAATTCCTCATTAGTTCCTCTTCCTTCCGACTTTCCACATGAAGATGGGCTTTCCAAGACCACCTGTCCTGATGGGGAAGAAGGATTTCCTGATTGATTTGCCATTTGTAGCAAAGGTTGAGAAGAACCGTCCTTCGTATTCTTTCTGCAAAGTTTATGGCTTTTCTTTTTGGACATGCAAGATCAAAACACATGAGGTCCCACCGAGCATGCCAAAACTATGTTCGTGGCTAGAATTTCCGTCGGGGATGTCTTATAGCCGACGAGCACACAGCTCCCCGAGAGGTCGGCGCCGGTTGATGCTTTCTGTCGGGCTTCTACTTCACTGGCGGGCTTGTCGGGCAAGGCTTGTAGGGCAAGGCTGAAAGAGAAGGACAGAGTTAACTTTGAAAGGTGCCTTTGTGAGGCCTTAGGTATAGGCCTTAAGGCTCACAATCAAGATTAACTTTTAAGTGCTTAGGCGTGCCACTGCTATCTTTAGCATGGCAGATGTAAAATGGATGTTGAATTTAGTTGTACATATACCCGAGAGGCTGTGTTAGTTATGACATGTGCCTTTGTGAGGCCTTAGGTGTAGGCCTTGAGGCTTCTGATCAAGAACTAACCCAGTACTCGAATATACAATGTCTGTTTTATTGTTTGCAGAAGTGTTATAACCATTATACTTCTTATTATCCAAGCCCGCAGAGCAGAATGAACCCAAATAGGTGCCTTTGTAGGGCCTTAGATATAGGCCTTGAGGCTTCCCATCAGAATTCCTTTTATACTTAAACGTTCTACTATAATCATAATTTAATAGAAATAAAACTAAGAGATAGATCGATTACTTGCGCCCCAAGTAACTTCAGATTTCTTGTTATCAAAGCTTGTCGTGGATGGGTTAAGTCCACATAAGGTTATTTTTTATGCCTTGAGGCCAAAGACTTTTGAATGATCAATCTTACATGCCTGAGAGCTTAGAACTTAGATCTGGTTTGAACTGTGAAGACATATTCAAATCGGATTCAAGAACTGAGAGAGTCTTTTAATCGTCATCTTACTAGAAATAACTTGAATACAACTGGAAGTATACAACATATTGCTAGGCTAATGAATGAAAAGACAAAACAAAAAGAGGGTCGGGCAAGGTTTAACCTTTTCGGGCAAGGTTGATCATCTTGCAACTTCCTATCTTTGTGGTTTATCAAGGGGTTTGAGAGCTTTAGAAAGGGGGGGTAGGGAGATGAGTTTACAAAAGAAAATCGATACTACAGCAAGCTTAAGACAAGGTAGCAGAGCTATTACAAAGGCTTTTGATGAAGGTTTAACCTGAAAGGGATGAAGGCTTGGGCTGGCTACAGCTTCGTTTGAAGGCAAATCTGGCTTGAGCAGAGTTTATACTTGTATTGGTTTGTTTGATTGAGTGTCCTTATCTCTGATTTCTCTTTCTTCTTTTTATAGACACTTCGGCTTGGCCTCCTGTAGCAGTAATCTTTCCCGAATGCAGCTTGAAGGGTAGTGACTCATCAGTTATTTACTTGTACTGCCACTGTAAAGTGCTTTTGGGCTGATTAACTGGCTGGTCTATACCACTTGGTCTCTAGGCAGGTGAGCAAGTGGTGCAAATGATCTACACCTAGTCGAGAAAGGCCTTTTCTGCCTTCTGGGCTTTGGCTGGGCTTCGAGCTTTTCCCTTTTTCAGACCTCCTTTTGGGCCAACTCCTTCTTGAGCCCAAAGTTCAAGTTTTAACCCAAACAACTTAACTCTAGAATCTTCTCTGTAATTACATTTTGGGTGATACTACCCACATACTTATTTTCACCTCCCACAAACCCTTCGTTAGACCACACTCAACCCTGGGCTATTTGCCAAATTACCCCACTCATTCCCCCCACCCCAAACCCAACCCAACCCAACCCAATCCAAATCTTTGGGCTAAAAGCCAAATGCCCAATGGCTCTTTTTTGCATCCTACGACTGGGCTTTACGGACCCGTTGGTTGATCTAACGGTCCAGATTCAATTTTTTTTTAAATGTAATTTTGAAATACATTGAATTTAACGGCTAAAATCGAATATAATCAAAACTAACGGTAAAAAAAAGATCTAACGTCCCAAATTTAAATCTAACGGCTAAAATAATTAAAAAAAAATATTTAACTCAAAATTCATCCAAAAACTCTATAAATACCTATGTATTTGTTTAAACATCCACACAAAACTCAATTTTCTCCTACAATTCTTCCAATTTTTCTTTCTACTATTTCTTTCCATTTCCAAATTGTTCAACATGGCAAGAGAGCATATTAAAGGTTGTAATTGGACCTGTGAGGAAGATGTTGCTCTATGCTTGACATGAGTTTCTGTTAGCGAAGATGGTACAATTGGCACGAATCAAAATAAAAAGGTTTTGTGGGATAAAATCATTGAAAAGTTTCATGAAAACTGCAACGGCGACGAGAGGGGCGGTGGTGGTGTTTATGTGGTTTATTAATTGTCGTTTGTATTAAGTTTATGTACTTTATTAATTGTCGTGTGTATTAAATTTATGGCTTATTAATTATTGTTTCTATTAATCTAGATAGCTTCAATAATTATTGTACTTATTATTCCACACTTTGATGTAGAATAGATGCCTTCAATAATTCAACCTCCATTCAATAAATTTTCCAACGTACTACATAAAATACTTTGCACAAGAAAACACTTAAAATTTATTACTATAAAATACCAACATAGTATACTTCAAATTATTACATAAATACTCAACCAACATCATCAATGTTCACCTTCTCGGCGCCATACATGCTTAACCAAATCCTTTTGGAGTGTGTCATAACCTTGAGGAGCTTGAATTCTATTTAAACGTCTCATACACTCACTCAATGTGACCGTATCATGTCAAGTCTCATATGTGGTTGCAGCGAGATATTCAACATCTCTTGCAATAACGCATGTGTTAGTTGGTCATCATCCACATCTTCGTCTGAATCTTCTTCAATTTCGATGTACTCATCTTCCACAATCATGTTGTGCAAAATTATGCACGTCATCATGATTGAATGGAGGTCTTCGGTATGCCAAAGTCTTGCATGCCCTCTAACAATGGCCCATTGAGCTTGTAGCATCCCGAACGCTCTTTCCATATCCTTCCTATAAGACTCTTGCCTCTGCGAAAATAATTTCTTCTTTGCACTATCGGGATGAGAACAATTTTTGACAAAGGTAGACTAACTAGGATAAATACCATCAGTTAGGTAGTAACCTAGCTCATACCTATTACCATTTACCTTGTATCGAAATTATGGTGCCCATCCATTGACAACATCATCAAACAGAGGTGAAGACCAAAGAACGTTGATATCGTTGTTTGATCCAGGAGTGCCGAAGAATGCATGTTAAATCCATGTGTCATAAGACGCCATAGCCTCTAGCACGATGGTTGACTTGTTATGATGGCCCTTGAATTGGCCAACCCAAGCAATAGGACAATTCAATTCTTCCACTCCCAATGCATACAATCGAGGAAACCTATTTTGCCTGCCTTGCGTAGAAGCCTCTTCAAGTCTTCACTATTTAGCTTACGGAGGTATGTGGCTCCATATATGGCTTGAATTGCTTGACGAAAGTGGTTCAGGTTCTCAATAGCATCATCAGTTAAGTCTGCAGAGCATCTATTAGCTAGCATCTGAAATGCAGATATGAGTTTCTGATGATGTGATAGACTTTGTCGGCCGACGACATCTATCTTCCTTGCAAAGTAGTGGTCATGATTGACAAATGTGTTCAATATGCTATCAAAAAGCTCTCTCCTCATCCGAAACCGCCTCCGAAAATCATGAGCATGAAATCTCGGACGCTCGATAAAATAATATTTCATCATTCGGTCATGACACTCTTTTCTATCACGCTGCACAAATGAATGCCCCGTGACAGAACCATGATAGCTAGATTCGACATGGTGCTCATATTGCCTAAGCGAGTTTGCAAGTTCAGCTTCTGCGTTGAACATTTATGTATCCTCAATGTCAAGGCTTGCTTTGTATTGTGCCATCTGCATTGCCCTGCTACACCTTATTCTATCACCCATTGATGAGATATTGAGGATTTTTGGGAAACAAAAACACTTTGAAAGTTGAAAGATTGTGTGATCAACTGATATTCAACTTGTGCTTATATAGAGGATGATTGATGAGTTAAAAGATTGGTGAAAGTTGAAAGATTGGTGAAAGTTGAAAGTTTGGTGAAAGTTGAATGATTGGTGAAAGTTGAAAGTTTTGTATGTCCTTCACATGTGTATGTGCTACACATGTGTTTTGCGTGTCTTGTGTGTTTTTTGTATTTTGTGTTTATACATCTCTATCATGATTTTCATATTCTTCCATGGTGTTTCATGAGTTTCATGTATCGATTTAGTGATTTTTCAATATTTATCGGAATTTAAATATTTTTAGATTAAAACGTTCATCAAATTAATTTACGATAGTCTACATAATTTGTTTTTTTTTAGTTAATTTAAGAAAAAAATTAGCCTAAGTTCATTCTTCAATAATCCCGGCTAAAATTTTAGGCCAGAAGGGTTGGAGTAAAAAAACTGTTTCTGAGCTAAAAGCTAAATTTTCCGGGCTAAAAAATTTGGCTTTTAGCCCAAGGGTTGGAGATGGTCTTAGAGAACTACTAGACCCACTCCATTGTCCTATTTGTCCATCCACATTATAATTCCAACCACCATAAAAAGTTAAAAAAATTAAAATTCTATTTTCCCACCCACTTTTATTCCTAAAGTATCCTCATTAGCACTCTTGCTCTGCGCTTGTCTTTAAAATTATTGCACCAATGAAGAAATAATCTTAGAGCACTCAGTGACAGACTTTGCACCATTTTTTTCTACTGATCAAACTCGAAACCCTTTACAAAAGACTATCCTTCCTCGGTTCTTCCACACTTGTGTACAGAAGTATCAGCACCTATACATATGCAGCAAGTCCACATTACATATCAATTCATTTTGATGTCCATTGTTGAAATATCCAACCAAAACAAAATCATTAAATTTGAACCAGAGAGTGGCGGGAGAAAGTAGAGAAGAAGCAAATTCAGGTTGCTTGGTTTTTGGGGTTTGTCTTCTTCTTCGCAATTTTTATGAGAATTAATTTGCAGTAAACGTAGAAAATAGTGTGAAACCAAAACGATTTCAATTTGAGTTGCACTGGGATTTTATTGGGTGAGTTAGGGCTTAAGGAAAGATAAATCGTTTGTGAACAAAAGGTCATCTTTGCAAGTGGCCCTTTACCACACAACGGTGGAAAGGTGTTGAGCCTTTGCATAACAGTGTGGGTTCAAACTCCGTCGGTGGCTGGTCGTACCCAGTGCACAAGGCTCCCGCTTTACGCAGGGTCTGGGAGAGGTCGCACTTGGTGCGATGGCAAGTGCCTTCGCCCATGAGCGGTAGGTCTCGGGTTCGAGACTTGGGAGCAGCCGAGACCTACCTTACCATTTCTTGTAAAACAAGTACTTCTTGTAATTTGTATAAGATTTCTTTCCACAATAAATTTTTTTACTTATAACCATATATTGATTTTGTAATACTATTCATTGATTAGTTCAAGAAGTCACATTTCTATAACATTCGATTACCAATTGAATTGACAATTTCTTAATTGTCGTGAAAAAGGGTAAAAAGTATAGATCTTGCATGCCGTCTAACATCCTAGGGTATAGGGTATTGGGTTTCTACACATGAGTTCCAGGTTCAAAAATTCCTCTCTCCTAAATTGCTATAATAGTTTCGAATTCTTTTCCCTCTCCATAATAATAATAGACTTTTTTTTTAGAAAAAAGGTAAAGTGTAGATCCAATCTACTGTTCAAATATCTCACAACGACCGTATTTATGAGAGAAGAAGAGTTTAAATATTTTAACCCCACTCTAACTAATACTGAGACTTTTTATGATAAAACTTCAAACCTAACGGATTGTGTAAGTGGTAAATACCAAGTTGGAGACAATATCGGTATTGTTAGAAGTAGGCTTTTGGCCCGCCTCTCTGATAATTTAATATGATATTAGAGCCAGGGAGTGGCCTGTATTGCCACGTGATTGGTGAATCCCCTTGGCCCAGCACGATGATGGTGGGACCATTGGCCTTGCATGTAGGGTGAGTTTTCTTGACTCCACGTAGTTATCAATGTGTAGATCTCCTATATGTGACCCACAAATTGGGGTTCCACGTAAGGAGCGTGTGGAAATATCCCACACTCATTGCATTTTTGAGAGAAGAAGAGTTTAAATATCCTAATCACGCTCTAACTAATATCGAGGTTTTTTATAATAAAATTTCACACCTAATAGATTGTGCAGATGATAATTATCAAGTTAAAGATATTATTGATGTTGTTAAAAGTGAGCATTTAGTCTGTCTGTTTGATAATATAACTAAATGAAATACTATCAAATCAGTGCGGTCTTAAAAGTTGGTGCAATGAGTTGATGTCCACATAGCCTTCAATTCATCGACACCTATCCTTCCCCTAAACGTTTAAAATGTCCATTATTTGTGGGTCTACTTAAATATTAATCTAAAGAATCATTTGAATCAAAATTCTTTTCATCACCTAATTTTAATTAAGTAAACAAATTAACATAGTGTTTCTAAACAATCAAAATGATAATTAAAGAGAGTTGTTAATGGTAGTAGAAAAAAGGTTATCAAGTACTTTTTCCTCCTTTATTTATTGAGAGTTTGAACGGAAAACCCGCAATACTATTCACATTAACGAAAAAACAACATTTTTACATTAAAAATTCAAACTTGGTACTATTCACTTTACCCTTTATTTTGTCTTTATCGTTAAAACTCAAAGTTTTCAAATCATTTTCATTAGTTTTCATTTATTTATTTCACTAGAGCAACATCTATAATACTATTTTAGAATGTCAATAATAACTTTTTAGTTAGATTGCTAGACAATTATCTATTGGACTAATTTTTGAAAGGTATGATATTTAAAGTGGATCTAATTGATGGTTTAGATGCCTAACAATGATATTTATTTTTCAGAAAGATTCCCACTATGAAGGCTCTTGAGGAGAAATGACAAACACATATCCTTATTAGCTTCTTATACAACTATGTTGAATCATTTCGTGGATTTTATTTAATTATCCAATCTGATAATTAGAAATTAAAAAGCATGTGCGACATTGTGTGAAGTTCACCTCTCATAATTGAGCACTCAATGTTCTTGTTTTAAGCTTTGCAAATTATCACTACTCCTAAGAGGTGCAGTTTAACCGGCATAATAGGTGCCTGTCTCAGGCACGACATGTTATATGCTTTCAAAATATGTACGAACATGGAGGGCGATGTGTACATGATTGATGCGATTAATACTATTCAGCTATTATTATAATAAAATGATTATTTTTTTCTCATTTTCTTATGAATAATATGAGTTATTGTAGTATTTTAATATTGTTCTTATGTTGTTTTGCATGGTGATCAACATGTGACAGACCTTTTCAAGTTCATTGTTAATGTGTTAAATGTCCCAATTAATGCCAAACATACTCGCTTTTACATCCTCTTCTTCGGCCCGAACCAAGAAATCCGTTAGATATTATGCAGAATGTGTCTTGTTCTATGGTTCATCATTCCTCTACGAACCTATGGGAGAGAGTCATGATTGTGCTTTAAGAAGGTTTAACATCTCTTTGGTTTCAACAGCATTGCAGAAATCAACATTTTTGATGAATAATCAGTTATAACGTCCAAAAAAATGAAATCCTTCCAAAAATCTAGCCCTAAAATTACATCAACTAGACATACAAAGGCATCTTTTTTTCCTCCATAAGATATAAGATGGAACGGAAGCCATTGAAACTATACATTCTGTTCATTTGTTTGGACATAACCTCAAAACTTTAGGGTCCTATAATTCAACCCAAGTCCCAAAACTTCTACAAGTTCACACAAAAACTTGAAAAAAAACATATACATATACATACATATATATATGTATATATATGTATATGTAAATTAACAATCAGGACATGAGAAGAAGAAAATTTTCATTTTTTGGACTCCTGCAGGTCTTTCTCTTCAGCCTCCAGCTCCCACTCTTCAGTTATTGTCTCTAGTTCAGGACAAGTTGAAGTCTTGTTGTGGGATATCAAAACTGCAGGTGCAGCCTCCATCCAAGAACACAACAATCTCATCTGCATCTGCTTTGCCATTGCAATTATTGATCAAACAAAAAGGCTTTCTTAATTTCCTGCTCAGCTGATCAGCTGCTTACTTCCAAGCTGAAAGTTGGAGAAGTGGCTTTTAACTTAAGTGCTTCTAGAAAGAGATGAAGAGAAAATGGGGTTTTGTTGCAGATTTGTTGATTAGGGTTTTCTAGCAGAGTGTTGAATGAAGGCTGTGAGATTTTGGGATGAGGGGGAAGCAGATGAAGGTGGCATTTATAGGAGTTGAAATATCAATTATAATAATATGTTGGTGAGAAAAATGAGTGAAGGAAATTACACCAGAAATTGCAAGAAAAAGTAGGTCTGACAGTCTCACCCACTGATTACTAAGGCACGGGAGGAACATGGAAAATGTGGTTAAAGTTAAAACAATTCTATTTTAACGTGTATTTTTGGGACACAATCATAAAATTTCTACCTTGAATCTTAATGGCCAATCTATGTAGGGTCCTCCACTGTCCACCAAATTACTTTTTGGCTCGGGTGCCATTTCAATTTCGATATATTACAATTAGAATTACTCTTATAGAATTCAAAATTTTCAGCTCACAAAGTTTGATTTCAATTTTATAAGAATCAAACTCAGTTTTCCAATTCATTTTGTACAAGACATAATATTTTTGTGCATTTAAAGCCATAGAGTATTGTAACAACATTAGTTGTGATCATAAGAGTATGTGTGTTTTTTGTAGTTCTATTCTTTCACAAAAAAATGTAAACCTTCCGCATCCACACCTAACCTCCACTTCATCAACACCTACC